CTAAAAGGTAAACAAAGCTTAACAAATACTGTCAAAGCAGGGAGGGAGTTTAACAGACAAATCAATTTCACTGAAAGTAAATATCTTAGTGCTGGTTTTGTTACACAAAGACATTCATACCTACATAAATCCAAATTCTCAGTTCTTTTGTACTGGATTTTTGCTACTGTGACCTTAATGAAATCAAGAGCTAAACTGACTTAAAGCAAACAGAATTAAGCTTGTGATGTTATACAGAGTCTCCAACAATAGCATTTCAGTACACGCACTTTGTATTGTTGAACACTGAACTTCCAGACAACCAAGTGATCTATAACACACAGGTGAATGCGTAAAGTGTACATCCTCAGAGTGCAGCACACCATGTGATTAACTGCCTTAAGGAATTGCGCTCTCCATGGAAAATTCACAGGAGAAAATGTTTTGTCTTGTGTCTGAGTTGGGGAGTAGGTCTGTCAGCCCAGCACAACAAATTAAAAAAAATTGCTTATGCTATCCAACTTGTTTGTTACTCAGCATTTCTCTTTCTCACCTTTCAATAATGGAGACAGAAATTTTGTTACTTTAAACAATGACTTATTTGTTCCCATGGGGGCAAAAACCACTCAAGTGACAACAAAAAAAAGCGTTCTGGAAAACAAATACTACACCATATTCACAGAAATATCCACACCATGTGAGAGAATATCAAAGACTAATTTTTCACTTGCAGAACTCAGCAGTTGCTCAAGTACTTTAACAGACCCTGCTGCCAAACTGCAGCTAAGAACTTACCCCTAGAATTAGTGCTCTAATAAGGTACATTTGCAACCACATTTGAGTTTTATTTCTTTCCTGTCTGTTCTGGATCATTGTTATGCAAGATATAGCACCATAAATTGGAGGTGATCCTTCACTTAAAAATTAGTTTGTGGTTCATGTACTCTTTGGATATGCTCTCTAGGTACCTTTGACACCAAAACAGTCTTGATGTAAAGTTGGAACAATATAGAGCCGAATTAAATCAATTTTCTATCACTTAGATTTTAAATTTGTCCAGGGAATGTGTCCATACTAGACTCAGAAGAAGCCTCTTGGCAATACTGAATTATCATACTGAATTACTTCCATCAATTTGCTGGAGCTGCCAAATTGAAATGATACATGGCAAGGCAACCCTACACTGAAAAGCAAAAGATAGCCTCTTAAATGTTCCATTTATAAAACTTTTTATTCACAGTCAAATTTACTATCCCTTCTGAAATATATCACTTCACAAATTGATACCTTGCCATTACAATATTTCCATGCCATATTCACTCAGCTTAGTAATAAAAACAAGCTTTTGCTCTTTCCCCTTTGGTATAGCTGATGAAAATGGTGCAGTTCAAGGTCTCCTTCTTAGATCACCAGCACTAAATATTCCATAGATCTGTAATCTTCTGCTACAGGAAAGGTTAAAAGTCAGCAAAAAGATACACTGTTGGTTTTATCAATGAAATATTACAAGTCTATCCCACTGGAAAGCAGAAATTGAAGAAAAAAAACCCCAAACAATCACTAATGCTAAGATGCTAAGAGTGCTCTACAAAACAAAAGCATTCATGTGGACTTTCTGAAACTTTGTGTAAGAAATACTACTCAAAGCAGATTAGGAGAAAGAAAATTACACTGTCCCACCGCAGAACATACATGCATTTTTTAACAAATATGTATCACGTGTGATTCTAAAATGACAAATTGTATTTATTTTCTGTAACTGATGTAGCTTAACACTTTTTTTTTAGTCACTAGCAAATGAATGTCTAATAAAGAGAATTAATAACATAAACTAATAATGCCCTGTTTTGACATCTTTACATCCCAGTTTATGAGAAATTAATAACATGTGTACATTTGGGGTGCAACGACTTTCAATTACTTTGCCACTTCTAAGTTGGAAATCTCGTGCCACAGGAGTCACTTCTACCAATGCAACTCTACCCATGTTTCCAGTTACAGACTAGAGTTTCCTGTTGATGACTCCCAAAAGCTGATACAAATCTTGGTCTAGGTAACCAAGGTCTCTCCCTCTAGTGCTGCAGAAACAGGTCACCATCACTTCCTGGGCAATGTACGTCATTTATTATGAAAACTAGGATTTCCCTTTACATTTGTAATATTCCCAGCCCTGCAGTTAAAAACTGAGTATCAGTCTACCCTCTTAAACCCAAGAAAGTACCTAATCCTGAAAGAATTTTGTTTGCTTAGCTTTTATTATTCCAGATAAATATGTTTGAGGAGATTTTCAATATAACTGCAACACTGACAGTTTTTGACAAAACTTTATGCTAGCATTGATTTTTCAAAGCCAGGAAAAATAAGATGACTTAATAAAAAACAAACTCTTAGGAATGCAGCTCTCCAGGAAGAAAAATACTGAAGGAGTAGAAATGAGGCTCATTGATATGCTGACTTCCCAAGTCATATGGCAAGCACTTTTAAGGCTGGAAATTGAAGCCCTAGAAAAATCCCCCCTTTGTTCACAGCCACAGAAACTCTCTGTCAGAGAAATGTTTTCTAGGAGTAGATCTGTGGAAACTTCACACAGCTCAGAGAAAACTCGTTTCTCATGTCAGATAGTCATTTTGTTACAGTAAAAATCTCCTTAATTGCTAGGACAGTTAATGCCAAGTTGCAATTTTTATGTAATTATTTGCCACTAACACAAGTGGGATTCAACAACCGGAGCTGCATTTTCACATCTCTTCTGAAATATATTTTTGTGAACTTGGAAAATTCCTCATGGGACCTGACACCAAATTCTAGTCCCAGCAGCTAACTTCATATGCCCTCACCAAACTCACCACTTCCTTGATGCAAAAAAAGAAAAGTTCCAAGAACTCATTAAATGTCTGAATCAAAACAAAATCTTTAACAAAGTAATCACTTCAATGATATAAAAACCACTTAGCATTCATAATCATGATTTCAAGCTTCTTTCAAATAGGGCTGTTCATGAATAATAAGCACAGGGTGAGGATTCTTCGTCTGTAGGGTATTTGTCTGTGTTGTGCTGTGTCTAAAAACCAAAGCTGCAATCCACACCATTAACAGCTGTACTGAATGATGCAAGGCTTCAAAAAAATTACAAAATTGCACATGCTATATCTATTTAAACTGTCCTATTACAAATGTCAAATATCTGCATATAATTAATTATGCCAGATGGACTTCTAGCTCAGTAAGTCTCAGCTAATAGCTTTGCATTACTCTTGTTTAAATATTTACCAATGAAACCTGTGTACTTTACAGGACAATGAATTATGATCCTTTTCAGAAATTATCCTTTTAAAACAAAACCTATAATTGAAGCTTAAGAGGAAAATAATGTAATGGAAACGTCCTCCAATCCCCCTTTAATTAACAGCACTGCACATAAGTACAAGCTGAGCTGCTCATTTCCTCAAGACAATGCCTCTCAAAGCAGATGATGCTATCTCCCAGAAAATTTCTATATTAAAGTGCTCTGGTTTGTGCTACTTCAGACCACTACTATCCTCCAATCGTCTTCCCCACTAGTCCAAAGAACACCTGCCCTTTCTTCTTTTTTTTAGATCAGTGCATTTGTAATTAACATTTTGAACCTCATGCTTTGTACATGCAGACCTCAACACTCACACCTAGTCCCTAAGTCTATTTAAAACAGTCTAACACTGCCATCTGCAGTGTCAGATTGAAAGGGGTACAAGACAGGGCACACAGCCTTCCAAGCAAATACTATCCAGACCTATTTAGAAGAACTGCTTCACATAAATGTGTTACTTTTGGTCAAGGACACACTTTGGGTCTTTCAAATTTTAAACCTTAACTAAACAAAACAAAACAACAAAACAACCAAACAAACAAAACCAAAAACAAACAAACAAACAAAAAAAACCAAAAAATCAAAACACAACTCTCCCAACTCTCCTATTTTTTTGGACTCCCAAGTCCAATAGCTCCTTCATTTGACACAACCATGACATTAACCTGAAGAAACAAAGCACCATCATTTTAGGTTTTTACAGGCTGTTGACATGTATACTCACATAAGCAGTGCTGTGGATTTGAGGCAGCAAGGTTAGGTACACACATCGCCACATTTAAATAGTTCTCTTGTTAGATGGATTGAAAGCATTGCTATTTACCTGAAGAGCTTATTGTAAACAAAAATATGTAAATTCTTACCAGTCACTAAAAAAGTTTCTAGACATGTAATGAGTTTAATAAACTTGTCAGCACATTTGAATTTTTCCTTTCAAATGTGTATTTTTAGATAACAATTAGGGAAAAACCTTCATTTTAATACCTAATTCAGTTTAGTTCACACTCTGCATTGCCTGCTGCAGTACAATGCCAAGGACAACAACCATCCACTGAACATCATTCAGCTTGCAATACCAGAGCTTTGTTCTTATGATCTTATACTAACAACATTTCCCAAACATTTGAATGAGCTGCTACCCATACTGCATTTTTTGAGCTAAATCTTCTTTTTCCTTTGTAATTGTTAATGCCTTGCTAATTGTTAAATAGCTTTTGGGCAGATAAATGAGCTTTGAATTGCAGCATATTGAAAAGTGAACCCAGTTAACACCCACCCTTCCTAAACAACTAATCTTCACATTTTGAGGAAAAATACAGTATTTCCAAGATGGAGCAGTAGTTTTTATTGCACAAGAGGATGCTTTCCCTAATGAAGACTTGAGAAACACCAAGAGATGGCCACACTCTTACCACCCCAGAGCACATTTCTCCCAGCATTAGCACTAAGGGAGGAGCACTGCAGCCAAAATTCCATCAAGCTCCTGCATGTGCTGTTCCCTAATAACCATTCCCATCCTGCTCCTTTCCTATGGACCCCACAAACTGCCTTAGGGGATATGTAACTTTTCCACTGACTAGACACAGGGGCTTAGAGGAGAATCCAGGGTGTTTGCTTGTGGCCCTTGAAGCCCTGCATTCTCAGAGGCAACAGAAGTAAGGAAATATTGCACACCTTCAAGTTGAAAAGAGTTTAATACAGTGAATAAACCTTACAAAACTCTAAAAATAAAGCATTTCACACAATGCTCTTTCATAAACACCACAGACTGGATAGCAGTGTTTGAAACTTCTTAATATTGAGGAGATTGAGGACATATAAAAAAGTGTCAATAAATCATTTAAAAAATTGAATTCATAGGCATTATAAACAAAACATCACTAGCATTTATTACCAGCAAGTATATGTCAGGTTATTATCATGTGAGTAATGAAATGTCCAATGTGCATCAAATGGCACTTTTAGATACACATTAAATGTGATCACTGCAGTGACAAATGTTCTGGACAAAATACAATCCTGTAAAATTTGTGAGTATAAATTAATCTGTTACACAGCCCTTCTATGAGATGCATGCAGTATGCAAAACAATTCCAAGTAAGTTCTAGGTGTCCACAATTCTTATGAGGAGAAAAAAAGATTTAGTCCCTTTGTCTCTTTTTTCCTTTAGCAGGAGTTTTGGAAGTATGTTCATTTTCTGCCTTTGGTTCCCAGAGTGCATTTTTTACAAATCTAGAAGCAGCTCCTTTATCGAGTTTGGATGCCTTCTTCTTGTCTGCTATTTCTTTGACCTTGTTCATGTATGTTCTTATTCTCTCCTAGGGAGAAAAAAAAAGGAAAAGTATTTCAAACCATTCTCCCAAGATTGCTGCTAAAATGAATCAATGAGTAGAATTTCTCCACACTATACACTTCTAGAACTGAAATACCTAGAAAAATAGTATTACTTAAATAAATATAACAAGCCCTTTGCAAACTTGAGACTTTCCTTTAGCATATTTTCCATCACAGGTACCTACCACACCATCTGCATGACACCTGCCATAACAGGAACACAAATCCTATAGAGATGCAGACTCTGCATCTAATTTGCAGAGATATGGGAACTGTCCTGGCAAGCAAAGTTAGAAAATAAAATAATGGACTCAGTTGGAGTTTGACCTACATAAAGATGTCAAAATAATATTTAGGTATTTGACATATTTATGGATGCATTATCTCTTCTCTCCACAAAAAAAAAAATAAATCAGCAAGTCCAAGCAAAGCTAAAAAGGCATCTTACACAAAATCAAAGATGGTACAAGCATCACACATGCCTGTACCCCAGAAGTTTAGGGCTTAAGTTCCTGAAATGGTCAAGAGGTCTTATTAAAGAACTTATTTAGGGCAACCTGATGAATTTCCAGCCATATCAGAAGTTCATTTTATGGCCATAAATAACAATACAGGCTACTTCCAGGGAAAAGGGCATGCCTATATGACATATCTTAGCCTATCAGTTATTTGGTGTTTATGGGAGTTTTTTTTGACCAAACCACAACTTGGACTCAGCCCCACAGAAGTATACCCTCCCAGCTTAACAATCTCATTTATGTGCCTACTCGTCCTCATCTGCTCCTGCAACAAATAAAGAATATTACTTTGAGAGGGGAGTAAGCAGCTTTAAGATGGGAACCCCCCTCTGATAAGTGCCTGCTTCTCTTCACTGATGAGGGAGTACACTTACAGTAACTCTGCAAAATATTGAACAATTTGGTTTACAGATTTCAAGTCTACATATTTAGCGTAATATAGCCTTTAACTGTAGGGCCTTGGGATGTTACAGCCATACAAACAACAGTAATATATATACACACATATATAGGTAGTGCTCTGATACCTGAATTATGAATGTGGATTAACAGAACATGTGTGGATATTGCCAAAATAAATTTTGATATTTTTCACATTTCTCACAGCCATTGCCACCTCTTTGAATCTGGAACAAAAGTTACAAGACTATAGAATTGATTTTCAACTCTTCAGTAATCATTTTAAGCTACTGTCAAAAACTTGGCCACTCCTGTATCAAAAACACAGCTTTTACAAGGAGGGCTTTGGAGGGTCTGAAATCATGATCAGACATAATATTTCTTTGGTGACTGAGATGGCTAATGAGAACAGATGGCAAACCTACATGCATTAACATGGGAAAAAGGAGCTGGAAAATGTCAACTTGACAAAAGAAATTAATTCTGACAGCCTAAGTGTGAGTTTTATTAATACAGTTTGAATACCTGTATGTACACAAGGACAGCAACTCTACAAACAAAATAATCATGACAGAACAGTCTTTTTTAATTCCCTTTCCACATGAATATCACAATGTCTTTGGAAGGAAGAAATGTGCATTCATTCGACCTTGATACTTGCAAAAGGAAAAGAGACCTGAGTAATAAACTAGGCTATGAAAATATTCAATCTTTCTTCAGAGCTAAAACAGCAGTTGTGAAGCAAAATACAAACATACAATACCCACAGCAGAAGAGATAAAAGTTCGTAGCATCACTAAATTAACAAGATATTCAAACACTACATAATATAGGAGGAACAAAAACCTGACACAAAGCTCACAAAGTATTAACTGATGCATTTTTTTAATATGATACAGTCTAGACTACTGAAAACCCCACAAATTTTAAAATAGAAGTATTCTTGTTACTCAGGCCAGCTTTCCGCATTTTTAGTCCTCTCTCCCATTCCACTGGTAATGTAAGGATTACATTCAAGCTAACTATTTTACATCTGCTGAGATTTAATATTTTCATTTATTCAAGAATTAAAATGAGTAGTGAGAAGTTTTGATTTCTGTTTTTTCTTCAGGCTAAATGATTCAAGTTTTTAAGTCAGCAGAATTTTCAAGATAGCTGGCTTTCTATGCTGTAGTCATGCATCTAAATGGAATATGAAGACAAAACTAAAGATTTATTATAGGTCATAAATATGTCACTAATGCAGAATTACTGGACAATACACATACAACTGGTGCCAAAAAAGCTTTTAGCTTTGTTGCAGAACTGGATTCTTTACTGCTGAGAAAATGAATTATTGGAGGGCTTGGAAGGGGGAGGGGGGCACTTTCCCGTCTTCGCTAGTAAATCAACCACACTGTACTTTTGGAGTCATACAAAAGTAGGAAAAGGCAGCCTCAGAGATTAACATGATTTCAAGTATTTATAAGAAAAAAAATGCCATACTGGAAGTTATAAATTATTATCAGGCCTGTAACAATTTTCCATTTAACAGATAGAAGTGAAAAGCTGCTCTGCACAAAATCCAATTCTCGACCAAAGGTGGAAAAAAAGAAAAGATAAGATGATATCATTCATCATCCTTTTCTAATTTCAGCAGACTCTACAACTTTACTTTAAACAGTACTGTTTAAAAGTAAAAAAAATTACTTTCTTAATTTAAAGAGCTCAGCAGGGCATAGAAGTAGTTATATAACACCATGTAGCATATGCATGCTATTAGAGCACTGCATCATTTTTAAATGTAGATATAAACATTTTTAAACTTCCATTTGGGCTAACCATCCTACACAAGCAGGACACATGCAGTGTAAGCAACTCACCAGCTCTTGTTTCACTGGATGTTCCTTTGGATTGATTCCCTGGGTAGCCAAGTACACTACAAGAAAAAAAACAAGCTTGTTTTGAAACTGAAAGCTATCTATGACTGAAGACCCTATCAAGCAGTCACATCACATAGGAAAACCAAGACTTCCACATAAAAAAAATCATTAATAGAAGAAGAATTGTTAACAGTGTCATTAAGTATCTGACAAACTATTATTAATAAATATTGCAGCTAAAATACCCCTAACAACTAAAATGGTTAAAATTTAACAACTAAAATGGTTAAACTTTCAGTCCTTTAAAGAACAGAAAAGGCTGCCACAAAGGAACCAGAAACATACTCACACACATACAAAATTAGCTTTTCTAAATATAGATTTTGGATTCAGAATTTCAACATCGTTTACCATATGGATGGCAATAATGTGGGTCGTCAGGGTAATTACAAGTTTTTAATTATTTGGCTATGAGATATGATTATTTATGGCTGTCTAGATGTTTGAATGCTAATCATAAATACTATGTTTTTCTTTATACCACATACTTACCCCAGAACATAGAATTTAATGTGTACACCGAAACCAGATCCAGCTTTGCTTGCTCAAGAGGATCTAACTAGAATGAAAAAAAAAAACATTATATTTGAAGATTTTTAAGGAAGATATGCACAGATTGTGGTAAAGTGCACATTTTATAATTGCAAATGTATTAATAAAAGAATACACACTGAAGGAGCACGTTTTTGCATCCTGATTTCACTGGGACTGTGTTTATGCCTTATTTCCATGCCATCACAGGACCATTTATTCTCTCCTCTCCAAGTATTCATGTAATTCTCCCAGTCTGAAGTTAAATGTCACAGTCCCATACACCAAAACCACAATCCCTCAGCATGTAGCTCTTAAGACTACTGCTCCCATAGTCAGAAATTAAGTCCCTGTTTTTTCCACAGAAACTTAATTCAAAATAGTTGTTGCTATCAATGGAAGGGGGAAAAAACGTTTAAAAGTTGCTGAAACACAAACATCAATATACAATCAAGGAATGTTAACATGACACATGGCAGACTGTGTCTTCAATGCGTGCCAGAATACTTATGGATATAAAGCAAAGGAAGGATAAAGGTAATGAAAGGGTTTTTGTTTCCCTTAACTGTCTAAGTCAATTTATTATTTGAGTCCTACACGACTTCCAGAAACTCTGATAATATCATTGTAGAGCTCACTAGTTCTAACATGGATACTGTCAAAAGACCTGTGTTGTCAAGACCATTTTCTTCATAATTTATTTGTGTAAGAAATCCTCACAGCATAAAGAAGTTCCCTCATGTGTTGCCTTTTTCTTGCCCTACAGAAATAAATTACACATTAGGCTTTAAATGTTGTAAGACAGAGATGCTTATATGAAATTCTCAGGCACTACCTTGCTCTAATAAAAAAGCACATTTTGCAGACTTATAGCATAGCTAGAGGAGACAGCTCAGGTTCTGCAAGTCTAGACTTCTGCAATCAGATCAATTCTCACTTCTGCCAGTTCACCTTCACATCCTGCTGGGTACACCAGTTCCATTCAGTTTGCTGTGAAGAAGTCTCAATCAAAAAATGTGAGTGACCTCTCCATTATGGATGAGCATGTTAAGAAAGGCCAGGAATAAGCTATAATGTCCCTGAGCTAAATGTCCCACTGGTAAAGTTATCACTTATCAGCTTGGAAGAACGTGTGTTGCATTGTTGAGCTTGTAAGAATCTGGATTTCTTAGAAATGTAAGGACTTAACAGTAAGTGTCAAGCACAGGAGTGTCATTTTTTTATTTCTCAGTGCAGTGGCTGGCCTAACAGACCCTTTTATTTCAGTTCAGGCTCTCAAGTATTTGTGTGCTAACAAGGAAAAGTTTCAAAAGGAAGATAACTTACCTTTTGCAAAAGCTCACTCCTAGAAACTGACATCATTGTCTTCAGCATCTCATCTACAGAACCAAGGGACTTTTCAAATGCTGTGAGATAATCATGAATTTCAGTGGGGTATTCTTCCATGTTATCATCATCTTGTGACATTTCCATCTGGAAAGTGGAAACAAAAATAATAATCCTTTTCATTAAGTACCTACAGACTGTAGGTACTTAAAAGACTGCAATTTACAACACAAAGCATTAGCATTCATTCATTAAACATTACAAGAAATGTGAAGAGTTCTTGCAGATAATGCCAGCAGCAACACTGTAAAAGGTTCTGCAATTCCAGGGATATCTCCTAACTCCTGTGCAAAATGGCATGACGGAGCATTACAATTCACACACGACTTTAGTGCCTATATTTGCAACGGTCCTAAAACAGTATTTAGCTTTTATAATCTGTGATAGAAAGAAATTATTTGCATGTTTAAAAGAGGTGTTCTATAAATCACACTATATAAAGAGCTACACCAAGCAGCAGGCAGGACACCAGGAAAAACAAAACCAAAACTATCTAACTAACAAAAAAAAAACCCCAAACTACAAACCAAACCAATGGGGATATAGTCTGTCTTAGGAAGAGACATTACTTCAGCACCAGTTATGTCATGGTCAGTTCATTTAAGAGTAGATCCAAAAAATTATTCTTGTGAACTCTGTATCCAGCTTTCTGAAGTCCCTATGGGGTATTATAATCCCCAATATAACTCTACCTGTAACAAAGCAGAGTTGATTTTGGGATTTCAGAATACTCTTGCAATCTTGTCAACACATCAGTGCAACTAGGAAATAAGATGTGAAAAATCCCAAAGCACCCTTTTTTTGTTCCCAGAATTCACAGTACCATGGTATGGCTACTCCCAAGCCATCTGGCTGCTACTTTATAATCAATATCTTTAATTCCTCTCATATCATAAATCAGGTATTATATCTTGGGGAGTTAATGCTACTTAGAGCTATGTTATTTTCTACAACATCTACTGAGCAACAACTTTTTTAATGTTCTAAGGAAAAAAGAGAAGAAATACGTCATTTTCCTGCCTATTTGGTGAGCTGAATCAAGAAAAGTGGGAGCACCTGGATCACTGCAGTCTTTTCTTAGACTCAGTGTGATAATCCCACTCTCCAGGTGCTGAGTACAGAGGGAGGGAACAGAAATCAAAGACACTGCACTTTATCTATGAACACCAAGCCACACAGTCAGTACAAACAGCAAAGAGCTGTCACATCACTGCAGTTTGTTTTAGATAACGATTTGATCTTTCCCTTTCCCTGGCAAGAGCATGGGATGTGCGAGAGAGGTTTAATTTTACTTATATTGTCTCTTGGAGGTCAAAAAAGAAGACGATTGGGAGAAAAAATGGTGTGAAGCTACTCAAGCTTGCCTGCAACTTCAGTTTTAACCACACCACATGATTTCAGAACTATGATCAGGCAGTTAACAAGCCCAGTTGCACTGCTATTGTTTGCACAGTTAAGAATTATAATCCTACTCAGCTGCATGACTGCTCATCCTGCTCGGAGCTGGTTTTCACACTGAGTACAGAATCACAATGCCAACCATGCTAAAGGTCCCCTCCCCACCCCAGCATGAAACCCACACACCACACACCTAAGTATTACTTCTGTCAGCTGTGGCAGACCCAAGGAAGAAAGCTGAGCTGGATCCACAAGATGCTGCCCACAGAAAGGCAACATACCAATACAATTATTTCTGACAATAACACTTCTTGTGTTTCGTTCTACTCTCCTGACCACCTGCTTTATAATCTGCCATGTAAGTTTGATTAAAAGGGTTCAGAAACGATGTTTGTTACTAACTTTTGGTCACATAATACAGCATTAAAAACCCCTCAAAACTACAAAAGAAACAATCTTTTCCTGGTTGTTATTACAGCCAAGTTTGGTTAGAAGGTGTCTGTCAACACATGTTACCTACACTTACACAAACAGGGAAGGGGTAATCCAATCCAACAATCACAGATCTTTCTATCACTGCAATACTTATCCTACTATGGTCTTGATTTGACAGGCAGGCATGAACACAGTGATAAATTCCAACTTCTCTCTCTCCCTTAATCAGTGTATCCAGCACCAGCAGGAATAAAAAAGAGAACTAACAAAAGCCTATAGCAAGTATGTGATACCAAAATTAACTTTTTAATTAACTTTTTAACTGGTTTACAAGGATAAGCAGTCACATATTTGAAATTCTTTTCAGTATACCAAGGTAGAATTAAGGAATAAGACAGAAGAATAGGAACACAGAAGGAAAAGATAACAAATACAGTCTGAAATACATTTTGTTATCATTGCTGTCTCATGAACCAAAAAAAATTATGTTTATCCTCATATTTACTGAATATTTACTCGACACTAATAGCCAGGAAAGGGAAAAATCTGTCTTGGTTTGAAAGGCAGGTGTCTGCCAAGGAAGGCAGGAACCTCCCTTGTAATGGAAAAATATGACCCACTTCCCTCCAAATTATTATAAATTTGAAATTAAGGGGATGTCAGGCAAAGATATGGGAAAGGAATAACAGACCTTTACTAGTATGTATATGGATAAGAAGGCAAACAAAAACCCCAAACAGAACCACAAACCCAGCCGCAGCCTCTCTCGGCTGCCGGGCACTTTCCCTTCCGTGCAGTTCCGGCCATAGCCGCCAGGGGCGCTGGTGGCTCCCGGCCGGGCACGGCGGAGCCCCGCGCCTGCAGGGGGCGCGGCGGCGCCAGCTCAGCCGCGTTTCCCTCAGGTGGTAATGGCGGGCGGGCTGCATGGCGAAGTGGCCTGCAGCAGGAACCTCGGAGCGGCGGCTGGGACTGCAGAGGCAGGCACACCCGGGGGCAAGAGAAAATGTAACGGTAAACCCCGCAGCTTTAGCAGGAGCTTCGGGGGGTCGGGTGGACACGGGGTGCTAGGTAAGAGTGTTGCAGAAAAAGCCCGAGGCAGTGTCAGAAAACGGAGAGTCAGGGCAACAGCCGCTGGGCTCCTCTGCAGCAGCTGCCGCACGCAGCCGGGGAGACGCGCCCTCGGAAGGGGGAGAGGGTCGGGTCCCGGGTTTTCCCCTGAGCTACCCCAGTAGATTGTGAAGGTCCTTTTCCAGCCGGATCGGGTGTTAATTAGGTCCCAGTGTTCATCAGCTGCTCTTACGAGCAAAGGCTCACCTGCGGTAGGAGCAGTGGGAGGACAAAAACTCTATAGTGGCAGCAAATCCTCCGGGCAGCGAATACACACCGACTATTCCTCTATCCCTCCTCCGATGCCGAGAGAGAAAGAGCCGGGGCGAAGCCCATCCCCTCACGGCCCAGCCAGAATCTCACCACATCTCCGCCCTTCCCAAGAAAAAGCCCCTCAGGTAAGAGAGTAGCCATCCGCACCCTTCCCCCACCTTGGCCATTTCTTTTGTCTCTCATAAGTATCGGTTGTTATTGTCTCTTACAACAAATGGGACAAAATTCCACGAGAGAAAGACAAAAGAAAGAAAAGGAAAAATCTTAAACTCCAACAATCGAACTTCAATGGAAGAAGGCTGCCCTTTAGCCTGTGTAAAGAACCCTTCACTGATAAGTCTGCTGCTTCTGCCTGAGGAGAGGGAAGAAATTATTAAACTTGTGTTTTCTCTTCACTTCAACAGGAACTAGCAAGTTCCTATTCCTGCTGTGTAGAGACTTCTGTTATTAGTTATTATTAGTTATACTGTTGTTACAGCATAACTAATTAAGCAGGATATACATACCAACGAGGCAAGTCAACAGCCTAAAATAATTTTGAGCAAACTACATTAAAAACGTGTACACTAGAAACTCCACAAAACTGTTTCTGCCAAAATCAACACATGGTTTGTGTACTCACACCTGCACAATGACAAAGCCAAAGACAGCAGGGAACTCCATGACTCTCTAAACATACACCCAAAAGCTATACTGCCATCAGTAGTTATGTTTCAGTTATTAAATAACAAACAAAATTTTCCTCAAAGTTCTTCAAGTGTTTATTTTTGTATTTTGAATAAGCAAAAACTTAAGTCAGTCCCTGAAGACAATGTTAATTAGACAGATTTTCTTATTTGAATTTATTGACTTTCAACCAGATTTTATTTGGCACTGAGTTCTCACTTTAAAAATTAAGGATAGTAGAAATATTCAGATAAGAGAAGTAATGAAAAATTCTAGCTAGGTAAGTAAGGCAAACAATGGGGAATTCTATGGGAAATAAGACAGAATTTTCATTATCAAACAGTAAGACCTATGATGCATAACACATAACCTGTGGTTGTGTTACAGTGGTAACACTTTAAAATTTTGAGAATGCAAAGAAAGGTTCATAACCCATAAACATGAAATAAAAAAAGAAATTGACTACTTTGATGAAGGACACAGAGGCAAAAAAACTGATGAAAAATGTTGTACAACTTCCTAACACAAACTTAACAGAAACAAACTTCCTTTTTAATAACCCTGAGCTGCCATGTAATTTTTGGGGAAAAACCTCACAGAATATGTATTTGAGGAAGAAAAGGACTTTAGATTGCAAAAGTAAACGATTTTCATGAGAAAATTTATGCATTGCATTTAGGTATGTTTAAAAAAATGTTTGTTCGTTTACATAGGTACAAAATTTCGGAATATTCTGAAATTTCTGAATAATTCTGAGTAAATTCTCATTTATTCAGAAAGATGACTGCATTTTCTGCTTAGAACACAAGGAACACCTTGTTCTCTTTGTAGTCAACATATCAATATACTATAAACCAAAGTAGGAAATACAGACTGCAAAAAGGGAGGGAAATATCAGACATTATTAATGAACCACAGAAAAGACACAAATATGAAAAGAGAAAGAGAAAATATGTCATCCTCAGCAGACTTGATAAAAACAACTACACAAGTGACAATCAAAAGCAGTTTGCTGTAGTGTTAACAGGGCTATTAATCTAAGATACCTTCATTGGCATTTAACTTGGTTGTATTTTAAATAAAAACAAACAGAATACAGATGGTGGACAATACTACTGAGCAAACTGTAGTCACAGCTGGCTTAAAAAGCAAAACTAAACTTCCCTCCCTGCTCACACCCCTCTGTGCCCCCAGCAAAGCCCTGACATACTGAAAGATATAAACGCTAATTAGGCCGTAAGTACCTCTGTGAGAGATTTTGCTGAAGATACATGGTGAACATAGTAGAAGCTACATGCATCTGTCAACATGGTAATAAGAAACCACTTAAGCAGAAATGAAAAATGCTCAGTGTTAGCATCATGCACATGATTTTCAACTGGAATTAAAACTGCAAGTTTGGGATAAAAATGGTGTAATTGAAATATTTTGTAACATGTAAACAGAAGACAAAAAGCGATTTAGCATTCTGCTAAATATTGCAATTCACTCATCATGTTAATTCTTGCGTATTCCTTAAACACTAAAAGGCCTTTTCTTCATACTTAGCTCAGATCCTTTATTTTTTCAGATTTTTCACCTAATAAAAATAAGATTAGGTAATTAGATTATTTCTTCTTTTCATGGATATTTACTGATTGCATAGAGGAAAAAAAAACAAACTAGAGAAAACAAAACCAAACCCAAAACCTTTCAGTCAGGACACATAAAACTGCTCTCAAATTCAAAATAAACTCATGAACGTCATCGATATGATAAACCATCTCTGGCACTGCCCTCCCTCTGTGTGTTCTGACTCACAACCTGCAGTGAATGCAGCTGATGTGCAAGTGCAGCAAAGTAACTTCTCCTCTAACACTGTAGTTTACTGCTGTGGCTGTAGGGCAACAGAACAACGAGCGTTTTAAATTTAAAGTTACCAGAGATGAGAATTAAGTTATTTGGCCACAAACCTCCTTAGGGCAGAGAAATCCATGTTTGCAAAGTTCTGAGTACAAGAGGCTCTAATCTGTGACAGACATGTATTATTGCTGATAATAAATAATTACTTGCCCACTAGTCATCACTCTGCCCACAGGCCTGCTTTGCTTTGTCCTTGCAACCCTGCTTGGGGCAGCTGGAGAGCAAATCTAGTACAATTAGAGAACTCTTGCAATGCAAACTGACAGTTCTGTTTGCAAGAAAGATTTCCATTGCAAAAGTAAAAAAACCTACAATGAAATATCATGTATACACCAGTAGGCTTATCTTGATCCCCTTAAAAATATCCCAGCTCAAGCCATGGTAGTTAAGCGGGGCATAATTTGCACTGTAGTACAACTGATAAACAGCCCTCAAGAAATCCCTGCCTTCAAATCCAGGCTGCAGCCACCAAAAATCCTGCACAGAGCCATCCTACAAAACAGCTCACACTTGACAATCTTTTGCTGATGCCACTGAGTCACTTGAGCTTCCACAGATTTGCAAAGTTTATACTAATCTGTTTTAAAATATTAAAATTTTAAGGGAGAGAATAGTATTATAGACTCATTTACACTTCAGCCAATAGTGGATATCCTATGGGAAAACAGCTTGGATTAAACATCCCTCATTCACCACAGCCCCATTTATATCCACTCATGTAAAACTTCAACTCCATCTGCACAATTCATAAAACACTTTTACTCTCTGTAATCAATTGTCCCAAATTCCACATCTTGGATGACACAGTGGTTTCTGTTATGAGCAAATCCAATATAACCTGCTTCTTGTTCAGCTCCAACCCATCAGTACACCCAGCATAAGTACAATAACAAAAACAGCTTTCTTCAGGTATGTGCAGAACACTTCTTCATGAGAGGTTTTCATAAAAGCTCCCACACTCAGATATGCTGCCACACTTCAGTTCATGTTCACTCTAAAGTGATACTAAATGTGTGTCTCTAAACTGGTCTTTAAAACATATCCTTTTCTTGGCACTGAACCTACCAGGAACTTCTTGGGCAGCAAAAGACTTGGACAAATCAGTTTAAACACAGTGGGGACAACACAGTAATGAATACTTCCATCTACCAAATTTCCAGCCAACAGGAAATTACCTGCCTGCTGTTTGCACCTCCTGCATACTTGTAAACTATGGAGAGTTTACTGCTTCTCAAACCTGCTGCCACTCTCCACTGATATCAGCACCATGAATACGAATATCCAGAATTAAAGCCGAGAGGTTTTTCCAATCCTTTTAAACTGCTGACCTAGTTTCCTTTAGCCACTGGTTCCACAATACATGTAAAAGCACTTCCCTTTACTAGAATGCAATTTTCTGTATTTGAAATCTGTGTAGTGCCTCTCTGTACCATTCTGAACAGCAATTCAAAATGTATTTTTGACTGGTTCTTACTCGGTTGTGCTGTTGTTTTTACTTGGCTGTTCACTATTAGAAGCATGTTTACCCATTTTTTGGTTCAATATAATTTAGTAATTGTGAGATGTTTGTGTTCTTAGCATCAATTTTACTGATGCGGGAAAAAAACATCTACCTGAAGCTATGGTGGCCAGTCCATTCCAGTGTACTGTTTATTTATTTATTTATTTACAGGAAAAGAAGATCACAGATGAAAAAACAGTGCTAAAAATCTTAGGCCACTTCAAAGAGAAAGGCACTTATCATAAAGGTTTGTGTAACTTGCATGCTGCTTTTGTGACATGAAGCTTGAAAATTCTACCAATTTCAAGTTTCTCACACTCTGGAGAAAAGAGCCTTGGGTTGAGTGTTTTCTCATTTCCTTACCAATGGTCATACTGCCACAGGATTAGCAATAGCCAGGTATTTTAGATTTGAAGTGGTTTTTTTATACTTATAAAACCAAGAAACGTGGCAGACACATTTCAGTGTTGATTCTAAAATCCAGTTCTTCCATTTTTGTTTGTCTCAAAATGAGGCCTTTTAATTGATAGCATTTAAAGTTTAATTTGCTAGTGGAAGTCCATTCCACAATGCTGGCAGCAACTAAGCTTGTGGTCAGAAAGCTGTGACAAAGTGTAAAGAAAGGGGACATTTTGACCTTAGCAGCAACATAAGTGCTACAGAAATTTCATTACAAGGTACTCATAACTTTAAATACTGCCTGCCCTTCCTTAGGTGCTGCTTCACTGTGCTCACGGCCGGTATATGCACGCTGTACCTTCTCTTTGAAAAACTTAGCCAAGTTCTCAAGGCTCCTCAAGCTGCAACACTATTTTCCCAATTTTTAACAAGAATGTAACCGTTTACTGCCTACAGAACGTCCATCCTCAAAAAATGCAAAAAAAGCCTACACGTACACCTAAGCAAGTCGTAAACATGTCGTATATTAAACATTCAAGGCCAGGCCGGTTGGAGCTCTAAGCCCCCTCGCCTAGTGGAAGGTGTCCCTGTCCATAGCAGAGGGGTTGGAACGGAACCCCTTCCGCCTTTAAAACCCCTTCCGCCCCAAACCACGCTGTGATTCCACACACCGCGTTTGTAATGCTCGCTAGCAGCGCCTGCAGCGCCCACAGCGCAGGGACAGCCTCCCGACAGCCCGCTTCCCCGCTGCCCAAGGCCTCGGCAAAGGCCCAGAGCCGCAGGAAGGGGCACAGCCGGGGGCCGCCGCTCTTACCTGCGGGCGGGCGGGCGAGCAGCGCGTGCGGCTCCCAGGCACGGAGACGGCGGGGCGGGAGCGCGCCCGCCACCGGCGGTGACGTCAGGGAGCGCAGCGGGATGCGGAAGCGGCGCTGTGGCGAGGCAGCCTTAAGGGGAAACGATTCCAATCTCGTCAATGCGCTTGGTCGGAAGGGAGCTAGGCAATAGGGCCCGCAAACAACCAGATTTGATTAGGAAGTCATGCACTCGTCATAGGAGTTGGTGTAAGTTAGTCCCTGATATGCATGGAAAGCGCACGGCAGGGAGTTTTGCAGAAAGGGGAAGGGGCACAGGGAAGAGAGAAAGGAGGAGAAGAATTAAAGGGGGAAGAGAGAGAAAGAGAGAGGGGAAGAGAAAGGGATCCAGCTAATGTTCAGGGCAGGGATACCTTTTTATGGATAGGTTTCCCTGCCCTGAAGACTCGTTTCTCTCTTTCTATGTAAATTAGTTCTCATGCAGTCTGTTCTATCTAGGGTCTTGATCCCTCCTACAGCCATGCCCGTCTTGGCCTCATTCCTCTGCTTGGATTGTGGTTTGTTGTGCTTATCTCCAAGAACTTAAGCAAGGATATTTGTCTGAGAAAAGGGGAACCCTATCCTCATGGCCCCCTTCTCCAGTCACAACTTGTTCTTCTTCACGGTGTGTTAATACCAACAGTCTTTTGCTATTACCAAGAATTCTTGTCTGATGGGATTCCTGTCTGATTCATTGGTTCCACAGCCATCCAGTTATACATTGGACCCTTATCTTCTGGGATTCTACAGTGGGGAGGGAGATGCTCTTTTAAAGCAAAAACATGCTTTCCAGCAGCTGGCTCCTCTGAGTGGAGAAGGTAAACAGCCAGCATGACATATCTCCAACTGTTCCCAAGCTCTTGCAGTTGCTTCCTGGAAAAAAGGAGACACGAACTGCGTCTAGAGATGGTCTCCTAAAGCCAGAGATTGCATGGAGTCATCCCAGGGGGTCGGCACTGGTCCTTGCCTGACACTGCACATCTTCACCTCACCCTCAAGTGAGAGTTGGTTTCCAATTGTGTTATTTGCTGTGTTTTCCACCGTGTTTCTCCACTAGTCCAGTCGAGGCTACCACAGGAATTGGAAAGACAGAGCACCTCTTCTACAAGGGAATTGCTTCAGCCTGGAAAAGTGGCTTAGGGGTGATCTATTTGCTGCCTCCAGTTCCTGAAGGGAACCCACAAGAGAGAGCGGGACATTTTACAAGGGCATGTGATGACAGGACAAAAGGGAATAGATCCAAAGCAAGCGTGGTTTTAGATTAGGTATTAGGAAAAAATTCTTGACTGTGAGGGTGGTGAGGCACTGGAGCAGGTTGTCCAGAGAAGCGAATATCCCATCCCTTGAAGTGTTCCAGGCCAGGCTGGAGGGGCTCTAAGCAGCCTGGTCCAGTGGAAGGTATCCCTGCCAATGGCGGGGATTGGAACTAGAGGAACCCTAAGGTCCCTTCCAACCCAAGCTATTCTAGGATTCTATAAGATTTCAGCAAATAAATCTGGGTTCAAAATGCAGTGGATTAATATTTCTCCACTGCAAGAGCTCACTGACTGGAAGATTGTACCAACACATCTGTGGCTCCAAAAGATAAGATCCGCATTTTACAGGTTTACATTCTGATAAATAGTAAAGCAGAAGTCAGTATCTGCATCAACAGTATTGCCATTACTTGCCAAAGACCTCTTTTTGCCTCCTGTTCACTAGCTCATCTGAAGATTATTGTAAATTAGGTTTTGCAGCCTATCCCCTCCAAGATAAGATCACTGGAGTCCTTCATCATAGTTGAATAGGGCCTCCTCTCAGCTGTAGGTTACCAGGAGCCTGCATGTGGCTGACTAAGGTTTGGCTGGTTGCTTGACGGAAATGTGCTGAGCTGGCTTGCTCAGCAACAGAGTATCTAGAGAAAGAGAAAAACAGGTCCTGTCTGGAGAAGGACAAGTTCAAGGCTGAGGAAAGTAGAGTTATATCTCTAGGAGAAAGAGGAGTAGAACTTGGGGAGCTTACCTAGCTTCGGTGCACTTCCCTGCACCTTCAATACTTTAAAAAAATACCATAAAAGTGAGCTTCCTTTTAATAAACTGGTTTACATCATCTAAGTGCTATACTATGTCAATTCTAATTAGATCAGTGTGTATTGCAAATGAGAGTCTTTCTCCCTAGTCCCAGCTGGAAGCATATCTAAAAATCTTCAAATGACATTGTTACTTGTTTACATCTTGCCTCCTTTTCCTGCAAGAGATTTGAAAGTTTAACTTCTCAGTTTCAATCAAAAGTGGCTGCAAATGAGTATTATAAAAGCAGCAAACACAGGGATTAAGAGCCTTTCAGCCATATGTGGGACATGTACAGGTGGTAGAATCACTGGGGTAGAGAATGGTATCCCTACTGTGTGCAAATATTTTGTTGTAATAATAAAATTTTTCACTGCATTTTCGTAGACATTTCTTATTTTCAAAAAACACAGTCTTAATTATTTCCTACGCTCATTTTTACTAGAACAAGTACAAAATTATGTGTCAAAGGAAGGAGACCAGGACACCAGTTGGTTCATCATAGGCTCCTCAGGTCCGGTCCGGTCCCGGTCCCTCAGGTCCTTCTGTTCCACTTTATTGAAGAAAGTATCAAACACTTATACAGCAAATAATAAGCTTATGAATATTCTGTAAGCCAAGCAATCTATTGGTTAAACTATAGCATTAACTCATCCTCATTCCTTAGGGGTTACATCTCTCTTTTCTCATGTCTCTTTCACTGTTTGTTATTATACTACAGCTGGGCCTCAAGGACATGCTATCAACACAGGTGCAGGACTTGGAATTAGCCATGGTTTTGTACTTTTCCATTTTCTAGCAGCTAAATTCCCAACAGTTATGCACTGTAAATAAAAGGGGATTTAGGAGAGTTTTCGTTAAAAAATATTCAGAAATGGAACAGTCTGAAGGGTAACAGGGAATTAGCAAGACCTGCACTCCTAAATAGAATAATACTTTGCAATTCAGGTATGCCAAATGTGTACAAGGGGGTTAGAACACTTAACATATGTTTAGTTAATTCGTACCTCAGTATTCACATGTCACAGACCAGGAAATACAGAGAGGGGATTTGATTGATAGACTAATTGATTTGCCAAATATTAGGTAGAAATTGTTGCCAGAGTCTTATTTCCTAACACAATATTTTGTTTCAATTACAAGATCAAAGGGAAATGCAACACATGCTGATCAATGTTCAGATTCAGCCAACTCTGTAGAAGATTGTAACCATGTAGAGCACTAATGCAGTACAGATTGTGCTCTGTATTCCCTGGTCATACAGTGTGGCTCTGTCTCCTTCTACTGGTTTACATTTGTTGTAGATTTGCTGTTACTGGCTCTGGACAGATTTATACTTTTGTTCAGTTAATGGAGTTCCTCCACTGAGTGCCTACACTGAATGCCAAGTCTTGGAATTTCTTGAGGGAATTCACTCAGGAGATTATTAGGTATAAAAGCATTCATTTTCTGCTTAAAGTGGCTGCACTGCTTGTTTGGTTTTCTGGAGCAGTGAGTGAGGAGTTAAGAATTCACATTTATCCCAGCCAAAATCTGATTGAGATATAGCTCATATAATGCAAATGGTTTATGCTGATGCCACTCTGAAAATATATTATTATTTTATATATGGATATCTATAGACAAGTCTATCCATAAAAAGCTGTACTGGCATCTGGTACTTAAGGGAAACCATTTAATTTGAGAGGCCTATGAATGATTATTGATTTTTCTCGATCATTCCTGAAACAAGAGCAAATAACCCTGAATATTTTTGCCGAAGCAGTCAAAGTGACAAGCATATTTAAAATAATTACTGCATTATTATGATGCATCTCATCCACTGTACATAGAACATAACGATTCCTGCAAAGTCTGTGTTCTTTGTGGAGCAAAGTGCAGGCCAAATCCTGTAGTCTTGGCCTCACTGGAATCACTATACAGCCTGGGTCATGCAAAGAACCAGAGCCTGAGGTACAGACCAGCCGTGGCAACTCCATCTCCCTGAAACAATGCCACTGAAAAAGCTTTGGGAGACATCATGCAGAAGACAATGTAAATGAAAAAATTTAGCCTAGATTCTTCTGCTGTGAATCTGGTGTGAATATAACAAAGATTACTAGAAGCTACTTGTAACAAAAAGGTTAATGAACCATTGGCAGGATAAAAATACAGATTCTAAAATCAGATTAAAAATCTGGCAAGCAGACCAGTTTGGGAGATGTTCATGTGTGTAGTACACGTGTCTGAAGGGCACCTTGGGTCTTTTGGAATAGACATTTTGTTATTGTGAGGCCCACTTCTTGGCAGTGTAATCTAATGAATTTGCAATCTAATGAATTTGCAGTGTAATCTAATAAATCTGCAATCCCATGTGTGGGCAGACAGCAAGTTACCAGAAGAGGGTGTAGCAGCAATAAACTGAAGCACAAACATCCATCTGCTTGCCCGTGTCGCCTGATGTGCACTTGCTCCTTGGTAGATGAAGGGTGAGTACCCAATGTTTCCTCTGGCAAATCAGAAGAGAGACATTCCTAAAAGGACAGTGACAGGCAGCTACCTGGCTCAATGCCATGTTTGTGGGAAATTGTCTCTGCCTGAATTCTGCTGAGACCAGATGTATGCAGGGAGGGAGGGCACAGTTAGAGATTTTACAGTGATTTATTACAATGCGCATGGTGAGACCAGAGAGACCAAGGTATATATCTAGCTGCCAGATTTGTTTTTCTTACTTGCTAGATGGGGTGAGAAGGGGAAGAGAGTCTTGAGGCTAACCCACATTTTCAGCAACTAAAAATCCTATGGTGACATTAGCACAGTGGAAAAGAAATGTAACCTCCAAAATTTTCCATGTTTTATTATACTTTGCTGAACTTAGGGGCAGCATGTAGGGCAGCCTGAGCCCAAGTGAACTTGGACTCACCTTTCAGTTAAAATGCTCTGGAAATGCCTTTTTTCTGCACTCGGATTGAATTAGAATGGCCTTAAACCTACTAAACGCAGACTCTTTTCTCTTTTGAAAACATAAGATTTCTAATCAAAAT